TCTTGCTAATTGCCTATAATTTCCACCTGTTGTCTATTCCATTTGCACAACAGCATGTGAAATGTATTGTCAATCAGTGTTGCTTCCTAAGTGGACAGTTTGATTTCACAGAAGTGTGATTGACTTGGAGTTACATTGTGTTGTTTAAGTGTTCCCTTTAAAAAAAATTGAGCAGTATATAGATATAGATATAGATATATATATATAGATATAGATATATATATATATATATAGATATATGTGTGTATATATGTATGTGTATATATATATATATGTATGTGTGTGTATATATATGTATGTATGTGTGTGTATGTATGTTTTTCAGCGGCAGGGACTGGGAGACTAGTTAGGATTGAGGGAAAGATGAACAGAGCAAAGTATAGAGAGATCATTGATGAAAACCTGCTCCAGAGCGCTCAAGACCTCAGACTGGGGCGAAGGATCACCTTCCAACAGGACAACTACCCTAAGCACACAGCCAAGACAACGCAGGAGTGGCTTCGGGACAAGTCTCTGAATGTCCTTGAGTGGCCCAGCCAGAGCCCGGAATTGAACCCGATCAAACATCTCTGGAGAGACCTGAAAATAGTTGTGCAGCAACGCTCCCCATCCAACCTGACAGAGCTTGAGAGGATCTGCAGAGAAGAATGGGAGAAACTCCCCAAATACAGGCGTGCCAAGCTTGTAGCGTCATACCCAAGACGACTCTGCTGTAATCGCTGCCAAAGGTGCTTCAACAAAGTACTGAGATAAGGGTCTGAATACTTTTTTATATTTTTTATAAATTAGCAAAACATTCTAAAAACCTGTTTTTGCTTTGTCATTATGGGGTATTGATGAGGAAAACATAAAAAAAAACGTAACAAAATGTGGAAAAAAATCAAGGGGTCTGAATACTTTCCGAAGGTACATAGCTACCTCAATTACCTCGTACCTCTGCACATCGACTCAGTACTGGTACTCCCTGTATATAGCCATGTTATTTTCTACTCCCTATATATAACCATGTTATTTTCTACTCCCTATATATAGACATGTTATTTTCTACTCCCTATATATAGCCATGTTATTTTCTACTCCCTATATATAGACATGTTATTTTCTACTCCCTATATATAGCCATGTTATTTTCTACTCCCTATATATAGACATGTTATTTTCTACTCCCTATATATAGCCATGTTATTTTCTACTCCCTATATACAGTGGGGAAAAAAAGTATTTAGTCAGCCACCAATTGTGCAAGTTCTCCCCCTTAAAAGGATGAGAGAGGCCTGTAATTTTCATCATAGGTACACGTCAACTATGACAGACAAAATTAGAAAAAAAAATCCAGAAAATCACATTGTAGGATTTTTAATGAATTTATTGGCAAATTATGGTGGAAAATAAGTATTTGGTCAATAACAAAAGTTTCTCAATACTTTGTTATATACCCTTTGTTGGCAATGACACAGGTCAAACGTTTTCTGTAAGTCTTCACAAGGTTTTCACACACTGTTGCTGGTATTTTGGCCCATTCCTCCATGCAGATCTCCTCTAGAGCAGTGATGTTTTGGGGCTGTCACTGGGCAACACAGACTTTCAACTCCCTCCAAATATTTTCTATGGGGTTGAGATCTGGAGACTGGCTAGGCCACTCCAGGACCTTGAAATGCTTCTTACGAAGCCACTCCTTCGTTGCCCGGGCGGTGTGTTTGGGATCATTGTCATGCTGAAAGACCCAGCCACGTTTCATCTTCAATGCCCTTGCTGATGGAAGGAGGGTTTCACTCAAAATCTCACGATACATGGCCCCATTCATTCTTTCCTTTACACGGATCAGTCGTCCTGGTCCCTTTGCAGAAAAACAGCCCCAAAGCATGATGTTTCCAACCCCATGCTTCACAGTAGGTATGGTGTTCTTTGGATAAAACTCAGCATTCTTTGTCCTCCAAACATGACGAGTTGAGTTTTTACCAAAAAGTTATATTTTGGTTTCATCTGACCATATGACATTCTCCCAATCCTCTTCTGGATCATCCAAATGCACTTCAGACGGGCCTGGACATGTACTGGCTTAAGCAGGGGGACACGTCTCGCACTGCAGGATTTGAGTCCCTGGCGGCGTAGTGTGTTACTGATGGTTGGCTTTGTTACTTTGGTCCCAGCTCTCAGCAGGTCATTCACTAGGTCCCCCCGTGTGGTTCTGGGATTTTTGCTCACCGTTCTTGTGATCATTTTGACCCCACGGGGTGAGATCTTGCATGGAGCCCCAGATCGAGGGAGATTATCAGTGGTCTTGTATGTCTTCCATTTCCTAATAATTGCTCCCACAGTTGATTTCTTCAAACCAAGCTGCTTACCTGTTGCAGATTCAGTCTTCCCAGCCTGGTGCAGGTCTACAATTTTGTTTTTGGTGTCCTTTGACAGCTCTTTGGTCTTGGCCATTGTGAAGTTTGGAGTGTGACTGTTTGAGGTTGTGGACAGGTGTCTTTTATACTGATAACAAGTTCAAACAGGTGCCATTAATACAGGTAACGAGTGGAGGACAGAGGAGCCTCTTAAAGAAGAAGTTACAGGTCTGTGAGAGCCAGAAATCTTGCTTTTTTGTAGGTGACCAAATACTTATTTTCCACCATAATTTGCAAATAAATTCATTAAAAATCCTACAATGGGATTTTCTGGATTTTTTTTTCTCAATTTGTCTGTCATAGTTGACGTGTACCTATGATGAAAATTACAGGCCTCTCTCATCTTTTTAAGTGGGAGAACTTGCACAATTGGTTGCTGACTAAATACTTTTTTCCCCCACTGTATAGACATGTTATTTTCTACTCCCTATATATAGCCATGTTATTTTCTACTCCCTATATGTAGCCATGTTATTTTCTACTCCCTATATATAGCCATGTTATTTTCTACTTCCTATATATAACCATGTTATTTTCTACTTCCTATATATAACCATGTTATTTTCTACTTCCTATATATAGCCATGTTATTTTCTACTTCCTATATATAACCATGTTATTTTCTACTCCCTATATGTAGCCATGTTATTTTCTACTCCCTATATATAACCATGTTATTTTCTACTCCCTATATATAGCCATGTTATTTTCTACTTCCTATATATAACCATGTTATTTTCTACTCCCTATATGTAGCCATGTTATTTTCTACTCCCTATATATAGACATGTTATTTTCTACTCCCTATATATAGCCATGTTATTTTCTACTCCCTATATGTAGCCATGTTATTTTCTACTCCCTATATATAGCCATGTTATTTTCTACTTCCTATATATAACCATGTTATTTTCTACTTCCTATATATAGCCATGTTATTTTCTACTCCCTATATGTAGCCATGTTATTTTCTACTCCCTATATGTAGCCATGTTATTTTCTACTCCCTATATATAGCCATGTTATTTTCTACTCCCTATATGTAGCCATGTTATTTTCTACTCCCTATATGTAGCCATGTTATTTTCTACTCCCTATATATAGCCATGTTATTTTCTACTTCCTATATATAACCATGTTATTTTCTACTCCCTATATGTAGCCATGTTATTTTCTACTCCCTATATGTAGCCATGTTATTTTCTACTCCCTATATATAGCCATGTTATTTTCTACTTCCTATATATAACCATGTTATTTTCTACTCCCTATATATAACCATGTTATTTTCTACTCCCTATATATAGCCATGTTATTTTCTACTTCCTATATATAACCATGTTATTTTCTACTCCCTATATGTAGCCATGTTATTTTCTACTCCCTATATGTAGCCATGTTATTTTCTACTCCCTATATATAGCCATGTTATTTTTACTCTTTATTTGTTATTCACTGTATTTATTCCTCATGCCACTATTTCTAGTTTATATATTTAACTCTGTACTGTTGAGGTTGAATACTTACCGACTCAAGACCTTCCAGCTTTTCATGTTTAAATCATTTGTAAACATTTCTACAAACATCATTCCACTTTGAGATTATGGGTTATTGTGTGTAGGCCAGTGACACACAATCTCAAATTAATGCTTTTTTAAATTCAGGCTGTAACACAACAAAATGTGGAAAAAGTCAAGGGGTGTGAATACATTCTAAAAGCACTTTACACAGTCTGGGTGAGAGTGTCTGCTAAATGACTAAAAGTGGTCTAATATGACTGAATTTCTTTCTCTCTTTCCCAGGTAAGGGAGGAAAGAATCGTAGACGTGGAAAGAATGAGAACGAGTCCGAGAAGAGAGAGCTGGTGTTCAAAGAGGACGGGCAGGGTGAGTGCAGGGGTCTCTGCCAGGGCTTGTGTGAGGTGCAGGCTTTTGCTCCAGCAAAGCAGTAACATGGCTGTTTCAACTAACCAGGTCTTTGTTGAAGACTATGATTGGTTAATTAGTTGGTGTGCTACTGCTTTGGCTAGAGAAAAAGCCTGCACCCACACCAACTCTAAAATAAGACTCCTTTTAATGTTGTAAAATAAGAACTGCCAGTCTCTTCCCTGTGTAGAATACCTAAACTGCTCTTAACAGTGCTCTAGCTAGAATGTGCAGCTCCATTTTGTCCAGGGTTCTGGAATGCAGATAGAAATAGAGCGCTGTTTTAGAGCAGACGTATTGTATTGAAGGTGTAGGCATTCAAACATAATGATCAGCGTGGCCATATTCAGTGAGGGCAGTGTCCCCCTCTCTCCTGTGCTGTAGAGTACATACTGTATGTAGGTGTGTCCCTCTCCTGTGCTGTAGAGTACATACTGTATGTAGGTGTGTCCCTCTCCTGTGCTGTAGAGTACATACTGTATGTAGGCGTGTCCCTCTCCTGTGCTGTAGAGTACATACTGTATGTAGGTGTGTCCCTCTCCTGTGCTGTAGAGTACATACTGTATGTAGGTGTGTCCCTCTCCTGTGCTGTAGAGTACATACTGTATGTAGGTGTGTCCCTCTCCTGTGCTGTAGAGTACATACTGTATGTAGGTGTGTCCCTCTCCTGTGATGTTGAGTCTCTCTCTCTCCTGTAGAGTATGCCCAGGTGATTAAGATGTTGGGTAATGGGAGGTTGGAAGCCATGTGTTTTGACGGAGTGAAGCGGCTCTGCCACATCCGAGGAAAACTCAGGAAAAAGGTCATACACACACACTCACACACTGACACACAGAGGACACCCTGACTGATGCTGACTCAAAGCTTTTTTCACTATGGACTGTCAACTGTTACACTGTTACACTGTTACGGTCTGTAGTGGCTCTAATGAAATTAATTATATTAACCAAACCTATAGATTGTTATCCATTCATCTGATTAATTCCTCATAAAAGCATTCTTATGATGTGGTTTCTCTCCTCTCTTCTTTCAGGTGTGGATTAACACGTCAGATATCGTCCTGGTGGGATTGAGAGATTACCAGGTAGATGACCAGCAACATACCACTGCTGTTGTTGTAGAGGGTGTCTGCATTTTTGTCAATATCATAAAAAGAGGTTTGGGTTTCTCTCTCTCCCCTATAGGACAACAAAGCTGATGTGATCCTGAAGTACAATGCAGACGAGGCCAGAAGTCTGAAGGCTTACGGAGAACTGCCAGAGCACGGTGAGTACCAGGAAGAGTAGCTGTCCCTACGGTAACAGCTAATGGGGTTCGTATAGTGGTCATGTAGGAGAGGCGATGAGGAAAGGAAGCTAGTTGAAATGATTGAGGCACACAGCCCATGATAACCACCGCTGACCTCTCTTTCTTGCCCAATCCCTGGGTTTGTTTTCACTTTCTTGTTCTCTCTGACTCCTCCTCTTCCTGTGTCCTCCCTCTCTTAGCCAAGATCAATGAAACAGACACCTTTGGTCCCGGGGACGATGAAGACATCCAGTTCGATGACATCGCAGATGATGACGAGGACATAGATGATGTAAGTGTTAAATCTATATTTGTATTGTTTTCTGGAAGATTAAACTTAGAAGTGTGTTTTTAATTCCGTCTCTTTCTGTTTTCTCCTTTCCCCTCTCTTTCTTCAGATCTAAGGACCTTCTACCAGAGGGGATGGTGCGATTTTCCCCTCTGCGCCGAAAATCAACACATCCGAAAATCAACACAGTACTTCTGTACCCCGCACACATACACACCACATTTCAAGGAGGTTGACCCTCCCACTTTCTCATTGATACCATGACTGCAGCTGCTCACAATCTCTTACGTTATCTTTTTAATGTATTTATATCGATTTCACACAGAGTGGAAATTACTTACAAGTACAGAATCTCTGGATTTGCAATAAAAAGATAAACCATTTTATGTTTGGTCTTGCGGTCTGTATCATTGTAGTTGAAAGTTAACATCACTCTTTATATTAGTTTAGATAGGATTTTTATTGATTACGAAACACTAATTACTCCTGAAGTTGCCTCTGTATCCTTTGGAATGTTAATTTGTTTAATTCTATATTGTATTCCGAAGACATTTTGCAATTACAGAATGATTTGTTTGTATTGATCAATGCCTAAATGAAGGCTATACCCCCCCCCCCCCCCCCCCCCCCCCCCATTCTGTTCTTCAACAGTGTCTGCATTTTTCTATTGTTTCCCCATGTGTGTTTGTCTGTTGGGTTTATGTTTTGATCCCACTACCAGAGGGATGTCACAAAGCATCACTCAGTTTAAGCAAGGTCATTAAAAAAATGTCCTAAGCTATTCTTGAATATGGGTTGTCTCATCAATTATACCATGCCTATTTCTAGAAAATATGAACTTATTTTAGAATGTTAAGGAATATTATTTGTCTGGTATCTCCTTGGTCCTGCTTTGTGACAAACCCCCGTCTGTCAGAGACAAAAGCTAACTGCTACCTAGCCTGGTGCTCCCGTCTTGTGCAAGTTGGAATTTATTGTCATGAATCTTGTCATGGAGGCAGTGGTCTCTAACTGGAACAGCCACAAAATCATAACCCTAATGCCTGACCCAAACTTCCAATTAAGACCAAAAAGCACAGTTTTGTTTTCATACATTTTTACGATATAGCCAATTTTTACTTTGCAGTTGGTTCATCTAGCGCAGGGATGGGAAACTCCAGTCCTCGGGGGCTGGAGTAGTGTCACACTTTTCCCCATCCTTAGCAAACACAGCTGATTAAACTAATTGCATTCTAAACTGAAGATCATGATTAGTTGATTATTGGAGTCAGGTATGTTAGCTGGGGCAAAGGTGTGACACCAATCAGGCCCCTGAGGACTGGAGTTGCCTATTCATGATCTAGTGGAAATTGCTCAGTTCTACCTCCCAGGGCAAGATTCATGACAATCAATGTCAACCTGTGTCTGTTGCTGCCCTAGTCAATTCCTCTGTTCCTTTACTGTAATGTCTAAGATGTCATGTAAGACCTCACATCTATTGAGGAGTTGGCTACAACACATATAGTATATGGGACCAGGCTAGCTAAAGATCACTGGACTGTCTTGAACACCACGGCCAGTGTAACAATGTAATATGTCTGAAGGCTGACTATGGGGATTTCCAATAAATAACTTAATTCTATGGCCTTGACATTATGTTTTATAAATTGCATTTAATATTAAGTTTATTTTCTTCCCTAGGAAAGATGGTAATCTGTGCGTGTATGTATCAACCACAAGGTGGTGCCACTGGGCCACATTCAAACATTGTCTAAACCTTATCCACAGGGTTATTATATATATTACATTAATAACATTACACAATGAAGTAGTAATACAAAGATGTTGATGTAATACAGATACATTTTTCGAATTGAACATTCTTGTTGGTCATTATATTTGTGAAGTTTGCATGTAGCACTTGGGGAAAGTCCTCAGCCAGAAGTGTCCCCCACTTGCGCAGCGGAATAGCTGGTAAGATGCTTCGGGAGGGCGTTCACGTGTGCTAGCAAAGCAGAGATCCTGGCTGGAGGCTCGGTGTGAGCCGAATCGGGAGGAAGCGGTACTCGTTAAGCAAGCAGCGTGAAGTCCTTTACAGTGGTGCCGTGACCCGGATGTACAGTAGCGCTCAGCTCAATGCTTCGGTCGCTGTTGCGTACGTTTGAGGGGTGAATGTAGCACACGGGGATGTGTAAAACGTACCCCTCAGCCTGAAGTGTACCCAATTGCGCCTCCGAATAGCTAGCTTTTCACGTGGCGCGACTGGTAAAATGCTTCGGGAGAGCGGTCACGTTTGCTTGCAAAGCACAGGTCCTGGGTTGGAGCCTCAGTGTGAGTCGTATCAGGAGGAAGCGGTACTTGCCAAGCAAGCAGCGTGAAGTCCTTTACATGTAAAGCTCACCGTATACTTCCCAGTCGAAACAGTTTGTGCATGTATTATGACAACAATTGGTTGCATTGTTGTTTGTTTTGGTGTTCTGCAATTTTTGTTTTGTTCAGCTGTTCATGCACACAAACATTTTTATTGAGGCAAGTCGAAGTTCGGTAGCCGAAGTCTACGCCCCTTCATCAGTGATTGGTCAACAGTACTACTCTTAGTAGGAGTGGGAACTATGGACAGGATTCTTCAATGCAGTGTTTGTTGTCATTCAATGAGAGACGATTAGTTTTCATGCACATTTTTTCACTGAGAAATACTGCATCAAACATCTTAGTTAGATGAAAAATTGTGCGACTAAGAACTCATTGGCAAAACATACAAATTAATTAGAGATTTCTTGATTTCTCTTAGATTAATTTGGACTATTTTGAGGAAGTGTTTCTGGAGATCTTGTTGCTCAAAAGAGACAAACAACAGTAATATGGCCGCTTTTAATTGTTTTTCAAGCAAAGGTCTTTAGGGAGTATGTGAGCACAGATGTTCACTTCGCCTAGTAGCAAAATTAGTTCTGCTAGGAGCAGTGGCGATTTTAGCATGTAAATCTAGGTGGGGCGGGCTAACAAACCAATTTTTGGGGGATGCATGCCAGCAAAGCCACAAAACAACACTAAACAATACATTAATTGCGCTACAACGGTGACAAACGGTGCCCACAAACTGTTAGGGCCTACAAGCTGAGTCCCAACAGCAGTCCCAACACCTTACAACTGCTACACCTGGCTATCAGGGGAGCATTGTCTGGCAGCGAAACAGTTAATTCAGCCTCATTTACTGCCTTAAAAAAAACATAGCTGATATGGCTGACTTGCTTAAACAAATGTGGTTTCTACTGACAATTGAGATGTACAAACTATGGCAGAAGGGGACAACAAGCGGATAAGAGGCAATCCGTAATTTCGATTAAGACTTTAATGAGCGAGCTAGGACGGACGTAGTCAATATAACTATTTGTTCAGCACCTTTGAAATGTACAGCGACAGAATTCAGAACATGGGCCATTCTTACAGTGTTCTCCCTGTATACCAAATCAGAACCGTAAGATAAATAAAGGGGGCATATAAGCAGACAATGAAAGCTCTTACAATATTGGATGATTACATTTCTCTAAAACAGGTTATAGGCTACATGTGCACCACCAAGTCAGAACAGTAGGCTAAGTTATGAGGGGGAAATAGACCAAATAATTAGGGTGAGGCACATGGGCTACTAACAGCTTATTACACAACATACTGTTAGTATTACTTTCTTAGCTACAGTATACATATCTCCCTGGCATATAAAAAAAATAATTGTAAAGTGGTTGTCCCACTGGCTATCATAAGAATGGCTATCATGAATGCACCAATTTGTAAGTCGCTCTGGATAAGAGCGTCTGCTAAATGACGTAAATGTAATGTAATGTAAATGCATATTACATCCTTTATGCAGCAGCATACAATACATTTTTGGACTCACCTTGTTGTGCTGTGCTCACTTGAACAGGAAAGTGTCATGGCGGTCCTTCGTGGGCAAATTTTGTCATTAAACTGTCATCAAAGTCTGGCATTCTCTGGATTTATGACACTTTCAAGACAACTGGGAACTCTGAAAAAAACAAGGTCGAATCATGATGACGTCAGTGATCTTCAGGTTGTAGCTCTAGAAAGAGGCCCAAGTTCCCGACTTGTTGGATGACCGTTCAAAACATATTTTCCCAGTCTGACCTCGTTTTTCCAGAGTTCCCAGTTGTCTTGATCTCACTGAAGTCAGATTTCCCAGTTCCGTGTTAACAGTTGTTTTGAGCGTGGCAGAAATCATGCTGGATTGACAGCATGGCCAATGTTGAGTGTTTATCATTTTAAGCTTGGAAAAGAGACCTTTAAACCCAGACTTGGGACCACACAGCCACTCCACTGAATAGCAGGCTAGTGATTACTTTGCAATGCTTGCAATTAGCCACTGACTCCTTCATTGTTGACATATGACAAGGATTAAAAAGGATTTGCCAGTAGATTGTCGACTTGATTCATGACTGCTAGCTAAGATTTTGAAAGTATGATGTTGACATGATCAGTCCAATCAAAGCTACTGTAGATATAACTTGCTCTTTTTATCTGTGGCCAATGACCTTGAACCTTCTTGGATGGGCACTTCTAATGTAACTCTATGGCAGCACCCAAGGGGCTTGAATTTTTCGAGCTCTACCCTTAGATTTGGCGGTGACATAGTGTTCCCATGAGTGACAGAACACTGAGCCAATCACTGCGCAACTAGAGAACATTACCAACCCCTACACTCTGTATTTTCTGCTGGCTGCCCCACCCCCACAGAAAGCACTGAGCTAGGCTGAAACACCTGCATTTTGGAGCTGCCTTACTAAAGGAAGCAAAAAAGAGACCATGTTTGTATGCAACTTTATTAACTCAATGATTTTTAATTAATTTCTATATTGTTTGCAAACTGATATATGACACGTATTAATGCCAAAATAACATGCAAAACAGGCAACCCCCTGTGGCTAGGAGCAAACCAAACCTATGCATGCGGACCCTTTCGTCCCCATCAGAGAAGGGATGATGCAGCAGGAGAGAATAGAATAGACATATTTGACACTTTTCACACTACTGAGCCAAACCAAGTCGAGCTGTAGGCCTACTGGGATGGAGATCTGTTCACTTATCTTCTCCCCTTCTCTTATATTCTCACTGCTTCAGAAATGTAGCGTGAACAAACCCTTGTCACATTATTTTCTTTATCCAGGGCAACATATAGGATCTGACACGCGCATGTGTGAACGTTTAATTGGTGCCTCTGTTCCGATGAGACTCAATTGTCTCCGCTCACTGCACGTGCCATGTACCCCGCAGCTCTTGCGCAGCACATTTTCAATAGGCTCTCAGACCTTGGTAAAAATGTTGTGTGCGTTTTCATAACCGTTATTAGCCAAAAAAAATTATGCCCAAAGGCTCGCTGGGGAGAGATTTGGAGCCGTGGAAAGGGGGATCGAGAGAGAACCGGGAGAAAATATGATATAATCCGATTTCTGCGTGAAATGGAAGTCTGAAAGAACCTGTAAATTGCGTTTAAATTAATCCTGAATTGGCTTCAGGAATTATAGTGCTCTCTTTTCTCATTCCCTTCTATGTGTGCAG